CCAGTTGGTTGTGGAGGGCCCCTCCGCTCGAGCGCCTGGCCCGTCACCCGACGAGCCAGGCCTGCACTGTAGACTACTGTGGTTTCGGGGCTCGGTGGCGCAGGAGGACCAGGGTGCAAATCTGGGCTCCCAGTTTTTCCATCCAGCTTCCCGCTCTCTGTCATGGTCGAAGTGGTGTATGCAGTCACTCGTCCAAGCCCCACATTGTTCTAACGGGCGTTGATCACAGTTCGGGCAAACTTTGGACCCGCGCTGCTGAGCCTTATCCCCTCGTTACTGTTCGTGTTTTCCCTTGGTTCTGAAACGTAGTGTCGACTCAAATCGTTTAATCCGTCTCCGACAGATTTTCTCATGATGCGACAAATGCCAGAATCCCGTTCGGGGTGTCTACGGTTTTTTTTTTTTGTTTTTGTTTTCTCTCTCTCTCTCTCTTTCTCCTCCTCGTTCGTTTGTGTTGTGTTGTGTTGTGGTTTGTGGTGCCGTGGTGTGTCTGTGTCGTCCGCTCGTCCCTCCCCTCCCGTTCGTTTCTTGCCGAGCTCTGCCCGCGTGCCAACCTGTCCTGCTGGACCTGCCTGGCCCGAGACACACAAAAGGTCTCTTGGCCAGGGGTAGCGTCACGATGATGATGATGGTGATGATGATGATGATGATGGTGATGGTGATGGTGATGGTGATGGTGATGGTGATGGTGTGATGATGATGATGATGATGATGATGATGATGATGATGATGATAATGATGATACTGATGGTGCGGATGATACCGATACTATTGATGATACTGATGATGTTGATGATGCTGATGCTGGTGCTGGTACTGATGATAATAGTGATGGTGGTGGTGCTGATGATGATGATAACGATGCTGATAATGATGATGATGATGATGATGTTGATGATGTTGATGATGCTGATGATGATGATGGTGATGATGATGGTGATGATGATGATGATGATGATGATGAGAGGAGGAGGGAGGAGGCAGCGGGAGGAGGATGAGGAGTGAACGCGGGGACCGTCTCTTCAAACCGAGGACCCAACTCCACGGGATGGTTGGGAAATTATCCTGGCGATCTGCCGAACCATATGCAGTTGTGAGAAATGCGTTGTGAGTGCCGCTTCCGCTGGGCCACGCAACGCGTGATGAGGCGTGCGGTCATGGGTGGGGGGGCACATGCGGATGGTCCTTTTGGGACCTTCGGTGGAGCTCCTTGTGGAGCCACGACGCGCTGTAGCGGGTTGTGGAGACGCATGCGGGCGGTGTCATTGGGACCTTCGGTGGAACTCCCAATGGGGCCACGAAACGCTGTACTGGGCGTGGAGGACGCATACGGGCGGTCCCACCTGGACCTTCGATGGAGCTCCCAATGGGGCCACGAAGCACTGCACTGGCTGTGGCGGACGCATGCGGGCACCCCCACTGGCCTTTGGTGGAGCTCCTTATGAGGCCACGAAACGCTGTACTGGGTGTGGCGGAGGCATGCGGGCTGCGCCACTGGGGCCTTCGGTGGTGCTCCCTATGAGGCCACGAAACGCTGTACTGGCTGTGGCGGACGCATGCGGACTGCGCCACTGGGGCCTTCGGTGATGCTCACAATGGGCCATGAAACGCTGTATTGAGTGTAGCGGACGCGTGCGGGCACCCCCACTGAGGCTTTCGGTGGAGCTCCCTATGGGGCCACGAAACGCTGTATTGGGTGTGGCGGACGCGTGCGGACCCCCTCTCTGGGGCCTTCGGTGAAGCTCCCTATGGGGCCACGAAGCTCTGTACTGGGTGTGGCGGGCGCATGCGGGCACCCCCACTGGGGCCTTCGGTGGAGCTCCCTATGGGGCCACGAAACGCTGTACTGGGCGTGGCGGACGCATGCGGCCCCCCCCCACTGGGGCCTTAGGTGGAGCTCCATATGCGGACACGAGCTGTACTGGCTGTGGCGGACGCATGCGGGCACCCCCACTGAGGCTTTCGGTGGAGCTCCCTATGGGGCCACGAAACGCTGTACTGGGCGTGGCGGACGCATGCGGGCTGCGCCACTGGGGCCTTCGGTGAAGCTCCCTATGGGGCCACGAAACGCTGCACTGGGTGTGGCGGGCGCATGCGGGCACCCCCACTGGGGCCTTCGGTGGAGCTCCATATGGGACCACGAAACGCTGTACTGGGTGTGGCGGACACATGCGGACCCCCCCACTGGGGCCTTCGGTGAAGCTCCCTATGGGGCCACACAACGCTTTATTGGATGTGGCGGACGCATGCGGGCGCCCTCACTGAGGCTTCCGGTGGAGCCCCCTATGGGACCACGAAGCGTTGTATTGGGTGGGGGAAACGCAGGGAGGAGGGAGCAGGGGGAGGAGGGGGAGGAGGACGAGAGGAGAGAGGAGAGAGGAGGAACGCGGGGACCGTCTCTTCAAAACGAGGATCCAACACCACAGGATGGCTGGGAAAAACACATGTCCTTCAGAGCACTCGAGCCCCGTTTCACCGCGACCCTTAGAACAAGGCAGTTTCGTATTGATACATCCTCCCTAAGTCGAACCTGGACGTACAACACACTACCTACAGAACACGCACACAACATGACATTCACACACACACACAACACACACAACACACACAACACACACAGAACACGCACAACAACTACAACACACAGATCACACATACACATACACATACACGCACACACGCGAAGAGCATACACACAAACACACACACACACACACATGCACGCACGCACACACGCGCGCGCACACACACACACCACACCCAACACAAGCAACACACATGCACCACACACACAAACACACACACACAGACATCACACACACACACACAAACACACACACACACACACACCACGCCGACAACACAAAACAACACCACGTACACGCAACACCCAATCTACATGTGTATATATATATATATGTATAGCACAAACCTTTCACACCACATACAAACACCCTGCACATGTGTTTATACAAGTCTGGGCACGCACGTGCCACTTGTTTACATCTATATATATGCGTGTATATAGATGTAGATGTGTATATGTGTATATATGTTATCTCTCTCTGACTCTATCTCTATACATATATATGTCTCTTGCTGAGTATTGAGCACACGCGGTAGAGTTGAGCCTTTTCAGGTTTCACTCTGCGCAGCCAGTTCGGAGAGGTTGGTCCTTTGTGGGCGCGAGGAAGAGGCGGGCGCCGCCGGCGAACGGACGCAGCTTGGAGACGCGGCGTTTCTGAGGCATGAGGTCTTCGAGTGAGAGAGGGGGATTGAGAGGGAGAGAGAAAGAGAGAGACAGAGAGAGAGAGAGACGGCCTGCTCATCCAGCCAGGGCGCAGCACAGACGTCCAGCAGACGAGCGCACGGAGAGGGAGGAGCGTGAGGGCGAGGGCTCCAGGCTGGGGAGGGAGGGGAAAGGGGTGGAGGAGCAGCGGCGGGAGGAGGAGCGCATCGGCCCCTGCACCCCAAACCTGGCAGAGGTGCCGGGCCCACCCACGCCGGCTTCCCAAGAAGCGAGCGACCTGGCAGCAGCGCAGGCGGGCGCAGGATGATCCGATGGGTGCTCCGAGGTTCTGGGCATGACGCGGAGGTGTCTCTGCTTCTGGCCCCGTCCGCCTCTCCCTCCTGATCGCTCCCCCTCCCCCATTCCGTCGGTGGTGTCCCCCGAGGGTCGGCCTGAGAGCAGACGGGGCCGAGAAGTGCGGCCCTGTCGCGTGCAAGTAGGCGGGGTGAGCTGCCCGCACCCCGTGCATGCTCTTGGAGCGTTCGGGGAGTCAGCTCGACAGTGAGCCTCATGTGGGCGGAGAGGGAGAGGGAGAGGGAGACCGATAAGACGCATGAGGAGGATGCGCACGACAATGACGAGGACGAGGACGAGGACGAGGACGATCGGAGCGACAAGGTTAACAATGAGGAAGACGAAGGGGACGACCACGAGGAGGACAAGGAGGACCAGGGAGGATGAGAAGGAGAAGGAGGGCCAGCCGCAGTGGCACTGACAGGGACAGGGCTGGGAAGGGCAAGATGAGTAGGAGCAAGGGGATGAGGATTGCGAGGACAACGACGATGGCGAAGAGGCGGAGGAGGAAGAAGAGGAAAAGAGGAAGGGTAGCTTTTAAGGAACAGCGGGAACAGAAGGGTCGGGGCGAGCACGAGGAGGATGGGAGGCGCTTGGGCACCTGCACGGCCGCCGCGCCTGCTGCCTCCCGTGCTTCCGCCTCTTGGTCGCGTCGTTTCCGGCACGCCGCCCGTCTCTCGAAAAGCCTCCGTCCGCGGCGAGTGCCCCGAGCTGCTCCCTTGGACGGCCACGGCGAAATATGCAGCGGCGCCGTGGGCACACAGCTCACGTTCGGGGAAAAAAAGGATGCCGTGGAGGGGGCGATTTGGGGATCCGGACCGTCCGATGATGCCTTGAATTGGGCGTTGCGTAATGGGGGGTCATAAATGGGGGGGTGGCGAGGGTGGTCCGAAAAGGTACCCAAACGGTGCCTAAACGAGCCCCCTGGGGCTCCGGAGGGGCCCGAAAGGGGCACGAAAGGGGACCGTTTCTGACCCCCCTATTTGTGACCCCCCCATGAAGCCACGCCCAATTGAACGTCGAAGGCGCTGAGAAGTGGCGGGTCCAGAAGTCGTGCGGTGAGGCTGCCGAGGTGTGCAGGACGGTCCCGCGAGCAGTGTCCCACAAGACACGGCACGCAATATTTTTTACCCACTGCGATCCTTTATATGATTGAGCATCCAACCTGTGGGTGCTTTTCAGAACTGGTTCGCGGTGTGTCACAGCACCCAGCTTACAGTCGGGCCGAGGTAATTATAAGATCGAGGTCGGTTCGGGGAGGGTACCCCAGTGTTCTTCGTGCTCATTGGATGTGATTGTGCATCCTGGGGAGGGTACCCTTGGCCGTTCTCCTGGCCTAGGGCCGAGTGTACATGCCTCGACGTGCTTCAGCAGTTCAGGCGCTCTCACGTACCTCTCTCCGCGCACGCCCCCGAAGGAGCCATGTCTTGGTCGGTGGCGCAGTCCATCGCGCAGCCTCCGGCGGCGGCGCCGACTCTGGGCCGCTCCCACCGCCCCCCTGCGCCGGAAGTCGAGGGCCTGGTCAGGTGTGGAGGGCCATAAGCTATGTTCTTTTTGTTGTAGGGTGTGGGCCCCTCCTCCTCCTCCTCCTCCTCCTCCTTCTCCTTCTCCTCCTCCTCCTCCTCCTCCTCCTCCTCCTCCTCCTCCTCCTCCTCCTCCTCCTCCTCCTCTCCCCCTTCTGTCGACTGCTCCACGGACCTCCAGGGGTGCGTTTCGGCCAGCATCTCGAGGAAAGCCCGGCCGTGGCGGCGAGAAGCCTCCCAGGGCTCCACGATCCTCCACCCTGGCCACTGACTGGCTCGGGTGTGGAGTACCGGGGCTCTTTCGTAGCGATTGGAGTCTGTAGCATTTTGCCCCCTGCAGTCGAAGCTGACTCGTAGGTCGACCCGGCCGAACCAAGGGTGCACTTGTGACCCGCGTTTCGCGACACATACCTCCTGCGTTCCTGTGGCAGCGTGGCCCTTGGAAAGGTCTTGTGCCCTCTCGCGTGTCCTCTCCAATCAGCCTCGACTGTAGCCTTCCACAAGGACCGAAGATGCGATCCTCGGGGGTCGGGGCCGGAACATGGCTCGACTTCAGCCTCGAGGCAGGTCGGCAAAAAGCACATCGCGCCCACGTCTTTCTGCGATAATGTTGCGTGCGTTGTGCACGGTTCGGAGACGAGTTCTAGTTCGCCATGGCCGAACGAGATGGTTGTGGCGCCCCGTCGGGTCCGCCATGGATTGGCAGCCCAGGAGGCGGGAGGAGAAGTTTCGTTGTGTTCTCAGCCCCTCTCATCCTCGAAAAGTCGCCCTGAAGACGCAGGAGCCCCGACGGGGCCAAGCTGCTCCTCCTTCCTGCTTGCTGTTGCTCCGCGGGCCCCCCCTTCTCAGGAGGAAAGGGCCATAGCTGAAATCCAGCTGCCGCACACTCTCCAGTCGCCCTGCTCCCTTAAGCCTGGCAAGGCTCCCTCCTCCTCCCCCTCCTCCTCCTCCTCCTCCTCCTCCTCCTCCGCGTCCTCCTCCGCGTCATCCTCGTCCTCCCGCTGCCCGTCTTATCTCGCTGAAGCTTGTGATCGACGATCTAGTCAAGGCAAGGGTCGTTCGGCCCCCCCCCCCCCGCGCGCAAGAAGAGCCTGTCTCGTCGTATTCCGCAGCCACGTGGCTTTTGCGCGCGGTTGTCCCAACCTCCCTCGCCCTGTGACATCCTGCACCCCCTCCATCGCTGGGTCCCGACATGTTTCCACCACCAGAGGTTTGGGCCCTTTCGGGCACAAAAGGGGGGGAGGCCCTCAGGACCCGAAAAGTGAGCGACGTAGAAAAACGGGTCGTCTTCACCGGCATTGGCGCGTAAGCTGCCCGCGAGAGATCGCGCGTGAGTTCCTTCGTCTCCAACGTAGTGTGCCGCGCTGGCGGCCCGCGTAAGCCACCACGTAAGGTCGCTATGTCGTCTCGCGTAAGACCCGCTTGCATTCGTCGCTCAAGAGCACTTTTCTTCCCCCCCCCCATTGAGCGACGCCCACGAGGTTTGGAGGGGCTCCAGGCCCACCATGCTGCGCCGACGGGCGACCGTTGACCAAGGCAGGGGCATTGGGGCCGGGCTGGGCCCGCCGTCATCGGCAGGGCCTGGAAGTCATCAGTACTGAGTTGCCTCGGCACACACGTGTTGATACGCAACACGAACTGTACTCAAAACAGCCGCGCCGATACGTCGTGTGTTTGCTCAACGTGTTGGCTCACGTGTTGGCGAACCGATCGCGTCGGACCTACGTTTTCAGGTGCTGCGTACCAGGGCAGCTAAGCATCAGTGCGTTCGGCACGCTTGCACCACTATGATGATGTATTGGAGAGGCCTTACAGTGCCGCCGAGCCGACCCTTGAACGACGACGACGACGACGACGACGACGACGATGCTGACGTGGGTCAAAGTCCTCAGGGATGCTTCTTGGGGTCTCTTCGGAGCGCTCTCGGGGGCCTCTGGGGGGAATTGGGGGGCCTCTTGGGAGCCCCTTGGGAGCCTGTTGGGAGGCTCCTGGGGGCCTCTTGGGGCTTCCTGGGAGCCTCTCGGGGGTCCGTTGGGAGCCTCTTGGGGGCTTCGTGGCGCTTCTCGGGAGCCTCGCAGGCCGAGGGCTCGAAATGTCCGTTCGGGTCCCCCGTGGCTTAGTTTCATACCGGTGTTTGGGTATCTCTGGTATACGCGATCACCGGCCCCGGGGCCCCAGGGCCTCCCCCATACCCGGAGAGCCCAGGTCACCTCAAGGCCCCCTCCCCGCCCAGAGCTTCCCCGGAGCTTCTCCCTCGCACGGTTCGGAGAGCCCCGAAGACGGTCCGATTGCCCACTTGGGTGTCCCAAGACGGTTCTGGCACGACTCCACGGAGCCCAAGGCTCCAATCGGCCCAAGTGTCCCGAATGACCCCAACGCAGCTTCAAAAGAGGTCACAGAAAGTCTCCAAGCCGACCCCGAGACGGGTCCGAAAAAAACAGAAAAAACAACTCGAGCGAGAGTCTATACATGTCGGCGAGATGTGGCTCCCAGATGGCCTCGGAGGGGCCAAACTGAACCCAAGCGGCCCCAATAATGTCCCAAGTCAACCTAGGATTGCGCGGGATAGCAGCAGGACGACGAAGAGCGGCAGGGGGAGGAAGAGGCGGCGGCCATCATCGGGCGTGCATGTGTGCACTCGACTAGCTGCGTTGAGCTCTTCCTCCTGACCCGCCAGAGGCACGCCGAAAGAGGAGGTGCTGCGCATCTGGCCCGAAGACGGCGGACGGGGGCATGGGGGGCCGTGCGCGCGCAGCCCGCGCGCTCGATGGGGAGCGTGGCCGCGCTCCTCCCTCCTGGGCGAGGGGGCGCAAAGGATCACGAAGGAGACGGGTCTCGATGCTTCAGTTGTCTGACTCCTCGGGGCCTCTTCCTGGGCGACTGTGTTCAACGACATTCCCACGTTTGACCTTTGTGTTGCTTTGTTTGTTTTGTTTGTGCTGGTTCGCTCTCGTCTTGCGTTGTTCTTGTCTTGCGTCGGTTTGCTGTTCGCTTTGTTCTGCTTTATTTGCTTCATGTGTTGTGCTTGGCTTGTTTGCCCCGCCTACAAGAGGAATGCCGCTGCAAACCCGTGCAACAGTTTTTCATGTGTAGTCCAACATAGAGACAAGTAGTACATCGTTTACAAAAAAGAAGCCGAGTGCAAAGCCGCCAAAAGTCGTTTTGAAATCCGCACAATGGGAATCAAAGTGCAAATCGCCTACAAAAGGAATCCGAGTGTAAAGCCGCACGGCAATATGCTTTATGTAACCCACACAATAGGGATCAAATTGTTAATCGCCTACAAGTGGATTCCCTTTGGAGGAGAGTCCCCCCGCCACCAACAAAATGAAAACGGTGGGGGAGTTCATGGTATGTGTTTGTCGTTCTTATTCTCCCATCCTCCCAAGCTTGTTCCAGCTTCCCTTCACAGGGAATCCTTTGTAGACGATCTACGATGTGTGCCTGTTGCTTGGGTTACACATGGATTTTTTCTTGCGCGGCAATACAACCAGATTCCTTATGTAGGCGATGTGTGAACTGAGTATTAGCTTGCGGGTTACATTTCAAATCAAACAACAACAAAAACTTGCGTATGGCGTTACACCAGGATTCTTGTATATGCGATTTACAGTGTGATTGTTATTATACGGATTTGAATCCAGCCGTAAGGATTTACCATAGAAGTTATGTGCAGGCGGTCTACAAATGTATTGCTTGTGTGGATTGCAAATCGAGTTCCTACGTCTGGCTTTACAATCGGCTCCCTTTTGCGGGCGATGTACGAATTCATTCCTAGTGTAAGGGTTGCGCAGAAACAAAAACGCTTGGGCAACTTCATAAGAGGGCCCCTTCAATTAGAACTTACATATATTTCGAGTGTGCGAAATACACATCAAGCGTTGTTGTGCGATGTGCCTTGCGCTTTTTTTGCTGACCTACACAAGCTGATTCACATCGCGTGGATGGCAAAGGTCAGCAGGCATATCTGCACTTAGATATACAGAGAGGCGAGTGCTTTGAAGATTATATACATATATACAGTTTCAAACATACAGACGTAGAGGTGTTTGCGTATGTACAAAAACATGTAGGGACCGATAGAAAACACTGGGGTGGACAGGTATACAGATAGACAGACGAACGGTTGGAGGCGTATATTTCGAATCGTGCGCGCAGACAAGATTTGTGTGTATGTTGAGGGGTGCATGTTTATTTGTAGAGGTGTATGTGTGATATGTTTCGCTGAATCGATACATCACGTTTCGTGTATACATATACATGCAGCTTTACGAACGGGGGGAGATACGCTCTTATCTGTATATCTGCACACGTACATGAGCATATTTATATATACACGTACACACTACAGATAGATGAATGTACAGTTTTATAGACCCAATCATAAAACGCTACATACGTATATGGACCAATGAGTAGACAGCTTGGTAGATACATGGACGCACTGATAGCCAGATGGATGGATGGATCGGTATATGGGCATATGGATAGGTGTATACGTACGAGTGGTGATTAATGTAGATGGACGGATCGTGAGAGACAAACACTTGTGCATGTGTAAAGGGAACTAGGTGCATGGATTGCGAATTGACTAGCGAAACAAAAGTGCTTGGTGGTACGTGGCCGTTCATGCATAGATGGCTGGATTAACATCTACAGATATGTGTATACATAGTTGGAACGATAGCTGGCGATATGACTTGATGCACGACATAAAGACATGTACGTGTGTATATATATAGGGTCCATAAGTTTATAGACAGCTACAGATTTAAATACACGTTATATATATATATATCGTAGTACATGAATACCAGCAGACCAGTCGATCGATATGATGTTCAATCATATGCACATATGGATACGGATATACAGAGAGGAAACAGTAAAAATAAACACATGACCCTACCATTGCCCCCTCTGGCTCGTGCGTACGCGCGTGCGCGTGCTTAAATGTATACACAGAACAACCGCGGTCCCCACCCTTTTCCCCAATCCATGGTGGGCGTACAGAGTGCGGGAGGGCAGCCGCTATCTGCTCCCGGAAAAGAACAGACGAAGACAGCACTCCCCTCTCCGATATCCTCTTCTGCGTTGACCGAGGAGGGCGCGAGGTGTAACTGTGAGGGGTAACGACTGCTCACTCTCACTGCCCACTCTGTGTTGCGTGGAGGGCGTGGGAGAGAGAAGAGAGAGAGAGACAGAGAGAGTAAAGGATAGCAACCACAACCCTCACCACTTCACCCATCCTCCTTGCGCATGCAGGGTACGAGAGAGAGAGGGAGAAAGAAATTGCTACCCCCTTCCCGCTTGGTGGAGAGGTTGTAGTGACGAGGGGGAGCACGCAGAATCATGAATTACCCAGACAAGAAACTGAGATCTAAATACATCATGAGCGATAGAGCGGCGAGAGAATGACACAGAGAAAGATGATAAAGGGAGGGAGAGAGAGAGAGAGAGAGAGAGAATGAGATTATCGATTTGCATCGGCACCGGCATCATCACCATCGCCATCGGCATCACCATTGTCATAGTCATTATTGGTTTGATCAAGTTGGCATCGCCAGCACGATGAAGTATAAGATGTCACAAGCTGGAAAATTAATAATATAAAACAGAAAGATAGCGCGGGAACGTCGAAAAAGACAGTCGGCCCTTCCCGGGCCCCAGGTGCGTCAGAGAACGATTCGGGATAAAAATCCGAATTTGGAAAAAGCTCTGGGGTCCAGGACACATTCACCTCAGAATTTCTTTCGCTCATGCCGATCATGCTTTTTGTTCCTCGGCTTCCTCATCCTGCCGAAAAGGAGCAGGCCTGCATCCTCCGCCACCATCAGAACCCGCTGAGAGGCCCACAGGAGATCACAGCTGCTTGGTGGTCTTCCCGCAGGGCCCAATGAGGAAGGACGAGGGAGGAGGGGGGCCACCCGGCTGCGAGGATTGGCGGTCGTATTCTTCGCCGCGAGGGCTCAAGGGGAGAGGCAGAAGAGGAACAGGAGGAGGAGGAGGAAGACGAGGAGAAGGGGCGAGGAGGAGGAGAGGGAGGAGGAGGAGGAGGAGGAGGAGGAGGAGGAGGAGGAGGACGACGACGACGACACCGACGAAGAGGAGGGGCAGGAGGAGGAGGAGGAGGAGGAGGAGCCCTGGCCCCTTTCTCTCCCTCCTCTCCCGCCTCCGCTCCTTCCCTCCTCCCTGCTCTCCTCCCTGGGTGGCGGATCCCCGCCCCCCTCTCGGAGGTCCGGCGCCGTGAGTGGGGCGGGCCGCCAGCGCGTGTTGCGTGCTGCCGCCCCGTGCCCATGCCTGGCGTGCTCGCTCCGAGGCATTTTCCCGGTCGGGGTCGGTTCGCGGAGGGCACCCTGCGCAATATCTTTGTGTGTGTTGGATCTTACCGTGCGTCCTATGGGAGGGTGCCCTTGAATGTTCTTCCATTCGGCCGGCGGAGGGCCTCAGATTCTGGAAGGACGTTCTTCTGTCCAAGGTCCGGCCGTGGGTCACCGAGCGCGTTCCACTCTTCGCAGGGTGCCTACTGTACTCTCGGCGACGAGCGAGGGGGGGGAGTGAGAAGGAAAAGGCCTCCCCAGAAGGCTCGGAAGTTTCCCGGCCTTCTGAAAAGTCTTCTGAACCTTCCCCGAAGACACAAAGAATCTTTCAGAAGACGCGACGGCTTCTGAGAAGTTCCGCCGCCTTCTGAGAAGGCCCTCTCCTTCTCACTTCCCCCCTCGCTTGCCACCGATGCTCGCAAGCGGCCGAAACACACACACACACACACACTCACACACTCACACACACACACACACTTGTTTGACCCGATGCAATGGATCGTGGACCCCCCGCGGCGGCTCCAGGCCATTTGCGAGCAGTTGCAGTGCGAGTATTGGAACGCGCTTGCCAAGGATCGGAGGGCCCCCGGACCTCTGGCGGATTGCGAAGGCCTTGCAGCCAGCGCCGCCGACCCTTGACGACGACGACGACGACGACGACGACGACGACGACGACGACGTCGTGAGCGGGTCCGCCAAGGGCGGGCCGCGTGTATCCCCCGCGGGTTGGCCTCCGCCCCTCCCCCTGCGTGGCCCCCGCGGGGCTCCGGCGCGCGAGGCGCCCGGCCCCTCCTGGGGGCCTCGGCTCTCCACCTCTGCCGCGCGGCGGTGCAGGGCCCCTGCGCCGTGGGAGCCGCCTCGCGGTCCCTCGTCCCCGGGGCACCGCCCTGGGCCTTACAGTGGTGAGGGGCGCGCGCGGCGCCAGCACCCGCGGCGCCCAGACACGCGCATCCGAATCAGTCTCCCTTTCTTGTGTATATATATACAAATTATATATGTCTGTCTGTCTGTCTGTCTGTCTGTCTGTCTGTCTGTCTGTCTGTCTGTCTGTCTGTATGTATGTATGTATGTATGTATGTATGTATGTATGTGTATATATTCATGTATGTATGTATGCATACATACACCGATACATATACATGTGTATATACATCCATTTCATATATTTGTATTGATCCGGGGGGGGGGGGGGGGGGCGGACCCCCCACCCCCGTAACGGGATCCCCGGCGTCCAGGGCTCCTGGACGCCCCCTCAGAGGGTCCCGCGAGATTTCTGGGCCTCGGGAAGCCCCTGCCAAGCCGTGTAAATGGGTCGGCGGCGGTCCCAAGAGACCCCTAAGACGGTCCAAGATGGCCTCCAGCGGCCCTGGACCCCGCCAGACGCCCGAAGACTGCCCAAATATCACCTCCAAGAGGTTTTCGAAACGCAAGGGAAAAGTTTATGTTCCATCGATTTGTTGTATGACCTATGGCTATTCAGTAATTAGGTTTTCCGGGCGTCCCAGAGAGGCACCGAAAACCGTTCCAAGACGACCAAAAAGTTGACACAGTCTAAGAGAGCCCTCAGACGGTCCAAGAGGGCAAAACATTGCCCATAGAGGGCGCCTTGACGGCCCAAAATTGCCCCAAGATGTCCTCCAGAAGCATTCAAGCCGTGACCCGAGACCACAGTTCGCAGCATGGTGGCCCGAGGAGCCCCCCAGAGGCCGCCAAAAGGCGCCATGGGCGTCCTCAGAGGCGCCCAAGGAACCTCTAAAAAGCTTTCGCGAGGTCCTCCAGAAGCTCGCCTCGGAGGAGCCTCCGCGAACAAATTTGAGGAGGACGGGAAAGGGTTCGCGGGGCAGTTAAGGCCAGAACGAGGAGGAGGAAGAGGAAGATGTTGAGGACACCTGAGGGAAGGAGAAGGAACAACCATATGATAACGGTGATGGCGAAACTTGCAACCAAAAGCGATCGTTGTTTTGATTGATCGACCTCTTTTTCTCTCACGATGCCTGCATGTAAGGCGTGCATGACCACGGTGCATGGCCTCAAGTGTCAATGCAGTCTTGTGTGTATGTGTATGTATGTTTGAATGCATGCATGTATGTACTTACGTACGTACTTACGCACGCACGCACGCACGCACGCACGCACGTACGTATGTATGTATGTATGTATGCATGCATGCATGTATGTATGTATGTATGTATGTATGTTCGTATGTCTGTATGTATGTCTGTATGTATGTGTTAGATGTGTAGGTGTATGTGTCTGTCGCTCTCGCCGTAATTGCATATGCTTCTATGTGCACATACACATATGCACATATATATATGTATATATGTGTGTGGCTGCACCTCCATCTATACACACTTATACATATTACATATACAGATGTGTTATTAAATGTATGTTTGTGTTTAAATGTGTGTGCATGTATATATTTGGACGCGTATACGAAGACATGGGTGTACCTGTACATGTGGATGCCTATTTTATTAAAATGTATGCATATAGGTATGCATATATATGCATATATGTATATACATACATACATACATACATACATACATACATACATACATACATACATACATACATACATACATACATACATACATACATGCCCGTGCATGAGGCCCGGGCGCCCGGGGCCCGAGCCACGGGGGTCATGGGAGGACCGGGGTTTCCCAGACCGCTCCCAGAGCACCCCGGAGGGGCCGTGGAGCCCCCTGACTGCCCCAGAGATCTCCCAGACTCTCCCAGAAGCCCCCAGGGGGGCGTCGACAAGCCCCTCCAAGACAGCCCAGATAGTCCTAACGTGGCCCCGGATGGGTTCCAGACCGGAAATACACAGAGGCCTCTCAGAGGCCTCAAGAGACCTCCGAGGGGCGTCCCGAGAGAGCCCGAAGAGGCCCAAATCCTTGATTTTCATTGATTTGTTCTATGTTTTTCGGTGTCTTGCGTTTTCGACCTTCCGACGTTCCACGACAGCCGACGACGCCCCCAAGACCGCCCCAAGACCGCCGAGAAGGCCCACAATGGAGCCCCAAGACTGCCCCAGGGAGCCCGCAAATTTCCTGGGCCGAGCCTCAGACGGCCCAAGAGGGCCCTAGGACAGGCCCAAGCTGGGCGCCAGAGCGGGAGCGCGGGGCCCCAAGGCGCTCCAAGACGGCCCTGACGGTCCCAACGTGGCCCCAGATGGGCCCAACACGGCCAATACGCAGCCCAAGAGCCCTCCAAGAGGCCCCAGGAGAGCTCCGAGAGAGCCCGAAGAGGCCCATATCCTTGATTGCCGGTTTTTGTTTGAATGTTTATCGCTGTCTCGCGTTCTCGAGCTTCCAACGCTCGAACACGGCCGAAGACGCCCCCAAGATCGCCCCGAGACCGCCGAAGAGGCACCCAAAAGAGCCCCAAGACGGCCCAGGAGAGCCTGAAGACTGCCCAAGAGCAGCCCAAGATTGCCCAAGAGAGCCCCAGGACAGGCCCAAGCTGGGCCACAGAGCGGCAGCGGGAGGCCCAAGAGGCCAAGAGGAATCCAAGACGGCTCCAGAGAGCTCCGAGAGACGCCCCCAGAGAGCCAAAAGAGGCCCACATCATTGATACGCATTGGTTTGTTTGATGTTTCCGCTTTCTCGCGTTCTCGAGCTTCCAATACTCGAAGACGGCCGCAGACGCCCCCAAGACCGCCCCGAGACCGCCGAAGAGGCACCCAAAAGAGCCCCAAGACGACCCCAAGCAACCCGAAAATAATCCAGGAGGAGCCCCAGACGGCCCAAGAGAGCCCCAGGACAGGCCCAAGCTGGGCCACAGAGCGGGAGCGGGAGGCCCCAGAGCGCTCCAAGACGGCCCAGATGACGCGGGCCTCCCCCCTCCGTCCCTCCTTCCCTCCCGCCCCCTCCCCTTGCCTCCATTCCCTCTTCTCTCCTCGTCCTCCCCTCACCCCTCAGCTTTTGTGCTCCTCCCTCATCTCCTGGGACGGCCCCGCCAGAGCACCCTATCATTTCACACGTTGCGTTCCCCCTCCCACCCTTCAAGGGCGGGCCCGGCAGAGCGAGAGCCTTCTGACTCTGCGTTTCTTTGCGTCGATGGCATGGGCTCGAGAACGCTGGAAATCGTCGTCGTGACCACACTGGGGCTTACAGCGGCACCCGTGCCTCACTTGCGACTAGAACCTCAGCGCGCGCGTAGCGCACGCGTGGTTCTAGTATGTGTATGTATATATACACATATATGTGCATGCATACATCGGCATATCTATGTGACTATATATATATATATAGCATTGCGCCTGCATGCGAAACTTGACAGGCGAAGGTACATGGCGCGAAGTGCCATTGCAGTCTTGCGTATCGGGTTGAATACATCGGACATGCGCTTTGTGGGTTTGCAGGGCCCCCCGTCCTCGTGTCGCCGGAGAGCCCCCAAGCGGCTCCAGCGCGTGCCAACGGAGCCCCAAAACGGCCCGAGGGGGGCCCCGAGCCTGCCCAAGACGAACCCAAGATGTCCCCAAGAGGGCCCCAGGTACGGCCCAAGATTGTCCAAGATGCTTTCAAGACTGCCCAGAGTACCTCAGAGACGCCTCCGGTGGGCCCCACGCAGTCCTCAAGAAGGCCACGAGGCCAAAGTCATGAACCTCCTTTTAGGTTGTGCATGGATTTCGAACTACTCGTGCTTTCGAGCCTCAGGGTCCCCGGACGGCCCAACATGCCTCCAAGATCGCACCGACACGGCCCCAGAGGCCCCCAACATGGCTTAATAACACCCAAAGGGGCCCCCAAGACAACCCACATCGGCCCAAGATGGCCCAAGACGGCCCATGAGGTTATAAATACTGCCCCAGAAGCCCCCAAAGGGATCCAAAGAGACCCGAATACGGTTCCAGAGGGCTTCGAGTCTGCACAACAAGGCCCAAGGACGGCCCAAAATGCTTCCAAGACGCCCCCAAAAGCCCCCAAGACACTCCTGGACGGCCCCAGGAGGACCTCCAGGAGGGCATCAAGATGTCAAACGCATTGGTGCTGGATTTTTCGCTACGGAAAAAGATGCGCGCGTCAGCAAGCCTCGATTCCCGCACCTGCGTGGATTGAGCCCACGGGTCAGCAATAGTCTGTGCATACACAACTGCACGACGACATCACAGCAGCATATGTACATAAATTGTGTGTACGTAAATGCATCCGTATAAATACGTGTGCCTTGATCTACACATACTTACACACATCAGACCGTCCTGATGACTGAGTATACATATATATCTATATATATATATATAGTCGTTGGGTCAGCCAGCCTCTGCGCTTCCGGCCATCTTGAAGTTCCGCGAAACGATGAAGTGGGCAGGGCAAGGCAAACCAAAGCCAGGCCCCGCTGCAGTGCTCCACCTCGATGGCCTCGGGGCCTTCGGCGAGGCGGAGATTTCTGCCGCCTACAAGAGGAGCTGCCCCAGAAGTGATTGAATGAAGAAGCGAGGAAGGAGAGAGACGGTGATACCATTAGTTTTGACAGCAGCGATTGGCAGAGCCATTTCCGAACGCGTGCTCGGCGTTGCGACAGGCCGCAGGCGTAGCCACGCATCAGAGACAGTTTCTCCAGTATGTTGGACACGAGGAAGGAGGCAGTGAGATAGCAGAGGTAGCCCACTGGTGAAGAGTGAGTGTTTGATCATAGCAGATCAGCACACCCGTACGTACGCGTTGTGTGGTACAAGTGGGACATGCAAGTCATTCCGTCTAGCCGAAGATGATGCGCGCATATCGTTTACATTTGCACTCCCAGTATGTGCGTGTGCGGCGCGTCGTTGGGACAATCCCGTTTGCACATTGTCATTCTTACTGTACGAAGCATGTCATTGTTGCAAGCATGTGATCGGTGCTCTTGGCATTCCTTTGCGAAAGCACGTCCCTTGCCAGTACCCTCCACCTCTTCCAAACGCAATCCCATAATGTAATGCGCTGCATGCGAACCATCTGCCTGCACGGTCATGCGAACCCATTTACGAAGAAAGACATTTGCTGGCACCGCATAATCTGTAATGGAACTGCGTATCGCATGGCATTGAAACACGCTTCGGCCAGAGCCGAACTCGAGACCGCGAGCAAATCAATTCCCAAAACAGTAGGAACTGTGAGGCGTGGTGCGAATCATGTTCGGAATCCTTGATGCTCTATGGCTATCCTGGCCCGCGTGCGTGAGGTGGTTGGTAAACTTGGGCCCAGTGGTGCGAGATCTGTGACCTCACTGTGGCGTTCGTGTGCGGGGTGGCGTGCAAATAAAAACGGTTCGGCGGTGCAGGGCATTACGCTTTGTGTGACGTTTGTGTGGCCCGGGTTGCCGTATCGTGGGTTCGGTGGTGCGTTGCCCAGGTCTTTTCGTTGCTTTCTTCATTGGGTGTCTTTCAAAGGAGGAGTTGGTGGTGCAAGGCCTATGGCGTGAGATTGCGGATTTGATTGTGCAAGACATGTTGCGCGCTCATGATTGATTCGCCAGGAGGTTGTTGAACGTACGTTCACATTTGCGCTACGCCATTAGCGAAAGTCGTGGTGGTGGGCGAGTGTGACGAAGACACCCCATTCGAGTCGGAAGTGTGCAGCTGAGTTGGGTTGCAAGCATGTCCCATGACGTCTCGCTGTGTCAGCAGACGACTCGTCTTGAGACGTCCCAGCACGATGCTTCACTCTATCTTCGAATGCCGATCAGGACCTTTTGCGAAGTTCCAGTTGGGCGTAGATCCCAGCGGGGGGGCATGGCTTGATTCCCCTAGCAGTGTTTGCACTTATGGTTTCTTATTCCTCTTCTAAGGAACTGGGCCTGTGTGGCGGTCTGGAGACTATGTTGTCGCCGTCGCCGCCCCGTCGCCGCCCGTGGTCTGGGCCTGGCTGGCGGTCTGGAGGCTATGTTGTCACCGTCGCCGCCCTGTCGCCGCCCGTCGTCTGGGCCTTTGAGGCGATCTAGCGGCTATGTTGTCGCCGTCGCCGCCCTTCATTTCTACAAGAGAATTCGGATCTACTCCACCCCGCCAGGATTATCCCCACTTGGGGATGTGCAATTTACACATGAGTCTACCCCACCGTTCATTCTCATAATGAATTCATATAATCCCAGCCAAACCGGGTTCGACCCCCAACGTTCATCCCTTGCCAAAAAATGATGCGCATTTTCGTTTATCGAAATCACCTATCGAAAACCTTGCTGCAACACAACGTGACGAAGTACACACGCGAGCGTCGTGGCGCGCGCATGCCGGAATCAGTCAAAAATCGTAGACTTCTTAAGAATGTGAAAATCGAATGTGTCGGAAACCAGTTTAAGAATTGTTATAGAGCTCGAGGGGCCATCTTGCTGGGAAAGGCTCGGCATGTAAGTTCGTATTACCCCTCTTGGGCTTTCTTGGAGCCCTCTTGAGGCCCTCCAGGGGCTGTCTTGGGCCGTCTGAGGGGGGACCCTGGGGTTGTCTTTGGGGCTTTGTGGGCCGTCTTGGAGCCTTCTTGGAGGCATCATGGGCTGTCTTGGGACGGTCTTGGGGGCCTCTTGGGCCGTCGTGTTCGTTGTCAAAATGTAGAATGCGAAAGTGCTGAAGACACAAGTTGTTTTTCAAAAGCAAAGGGATGATTTTGGCCTCTTGGGGCCTCCTCGGCGATCCTCCCTCTGAAGGTCCTTTTGTGCTGTCTTGAGGGCCTCGTGGGCTACGTAAAACCATCTTGGATCGTCGTGGGGCTACCCTGGGCCGTCATCATTCTCTCTTCGACTGTCTTGGCGCTCTGTCTGGGCCCTGCTCTTCTATCTCGGGGCTTCTTGGAGGCTCCGGAGGCCCCAGGGCTGCATTGACGAGCTCGCCCCCCCCCCCTAGAATGGCATCTTGGACCTCAGGGGACGGGGAAAGGGGGAGGAGGACAGCCAAATGTTTCACGCCCCTTCTCACCCCCGGCAAGCGGGGGTCGTCGGACCAGAGATCGTGCTGGGACCAGGTCGGAATGCGCCACCGGCGCGTAGATCGAAAACGCCTACGGCGAATCACCGCCGCCCCTCTGCCCCTTTTGAAGCGCCTCTGCGGCCGACAGCTGGGCCAGAGCTCGGCCAAGCTATCGGGCCAGCTGTTCCCCGAGTCGGTTGGAAAGACTTCGGGGAACGCATGGGGGAGCAAGGAGAGGAGGGCGGGGAGGATGAGCAGAAAAGAGGAGGAGGAGGAGGAGGAGGAGGAGGAGGTCTCTTGGGCGCCTCTTGGGGCACTCTTGGGGCCTCCTGGGAGCTTCCTGGGGGCCTCTTGGAGGGTTTGGGGGGGCCTTTGGGGGCTTCTTGGGGGCCTCTTTGGCTGTCGTAGGGCGTTTCTGGCTTGTCTGACGCCGTCGGAAGCCGTCTTGGGGGCGTGTCTGGATCGTCTTGGGGCCCTCTAAGGGCACATCAGGGGTTCTTAGAGGCCATCTTGGGCGTCTTGGAGGCCTCTTGGGCCGTTTTGGGGCCCTCTAGGGGCCGTCTTGGGCGCCTGTTGGGCCGTCATGGGGCCATCTTGGACGCCTCTTGGGCGACCTTTGAGGCCTATTGCGCTGTCTTGAGCCGTCGGAACCCCGAGAAGAAGCAAATGCCAAAATCTGTTGAAAACCTTAAGAAAATCAATGATTTTGGCCTCGCCGTGCCCTCCTGGAAGACCTCGCCTTTTGGGCCGTCTTGAAGACCTCTTGGGGGCCTCTTGGGCCGTCTTGGGCCATCTTGAGGCCATCTTAGGCCGTCTTGGGTGCATCTTGGGCCGTCTTGGAGGCATCTTGGGGTCATCTTAACCGTCTTGGAGGCCATATTGGCCGTCTTGGAGGCCCCTTGGGCCCTCTTGGGGCCGTCTTAAGGGCCTCTTCGGCCGTCATGAGGCCATCTTGGAGGCCTCGTGGGCGATATTGAGGGCCTCTTGGGCCGTCTTGAGCCGTCGGAAGGCTGAAAAGAAGCAAATGCCAAAATCCTTCAAAAACAAATGGAGTATCAATAATTTTGGCCTCTTCGGGCCCTCGTGGAGAACCTCTTGGAGGCCTCTTAAGCCGTCTTGGAGGCCTCTTGGGGGCCTCTTGGGCCGTCTTAGGCCATCTGGAGGCCATCTCAGGCCGTCTTGGGTGCATCTTGGGCCGTGTTGGAGGCATCATGGGGCCATCTTAGCCGTCTTGGAGGCCATCTTGGGCGTCTTGGAGGCCTCTTGGGCCGTCTTGGGGCCCTCTTGGGGCCGTCTTGGGGGCCTCTTGGGCCGTCATGGGGCCATCTTGGAGGCCTCTTGGGCGATCTTGGTGGCCTTTTGGGCCGTCTTGAGCCGTCGGAAGGCCAAAAAGAAGCAAATGCCAAAATCCTTCGGCCATCTTGAGGCCATCTGAGACCGTCTTGGGTGCATCTTGGGCCGTCTTGGAGGTACATTGGGGCCATCTTGGAGGCGTCTTGGAGGCCATCTTTGGCCATCTTGGAGCCGTCTGGAACTCAAAAACTCTTGGCAACCGGCTTCGGGCATCCTGGGGGTGGCCGGCGGGACGCGCTGGAGCCCCAGGGGGAGTTCTTCTGAACAAAGAACCAAAACCAAAACCAAGATCATCTAGCACGCCAGGCACCCCTGTGATGAATCAACAGGGGGCGGCGGATCGAAGACGCCTACGGCGAATCACCGCTGCCCCCTGCCTTTTTGGAAGCGCCTATGTGGCCGAACGTTGAGGCCAGACCTGCCAAGCTATCGGACCACGTGTTCCCCGAATCGGTTTGGAAAGCCTTCGGGGAACACGTGGGCATCTTGAAGGTCATCTTGGCCGTCTGGAGGCCATTTCGACCGTTTCGGGCCTTCTTGGAGGACGTCTTGGAGGGCTCTTGGGCCGTCTTGGAGGCCATCTTGAGCGTCTTGGAGACCTCTTGGGCCGTCTTGGGGGCCTCTTGGGGCCGTGTCTTGGGCCTCTTGGGCGATCTTTGGGGGCACTTGGGCCGTCTCGGGCCGTCGGAAGGCAGAAAAAAAGCAAATGCCACAATCCTTCAAAAACCAATGGGAAATCAATGATTTTGGCCTTTTCGGGCCTTCCTGGAGGCCCTCTTGGAGGCCTCTTGGACCGTCTTGGGCCATCTTAGGGCCGTGTTCGGCCGTCTTGGTGGGCTCCTGGTCCGTCTGACGCCGTCGGAAACCGTTTGGGGGGCCTCTATGGGCCGACGTGGGGCCCTCTTGGAATGCTCCAGGGCCGTCTTGGAGGCCATCTTGGGCGTCTTAAAGGCCTCCTGCGCCGTCTTGGGGGCCTCTTGAGGCCGTCTTGGGGCCCTCTTGGGCCGTTCTGGGGCCATCTTGGAGGCCTCTTGGGCGATCTTTCGGCGATCTTCAGGGGCACTTGGGAAGTCTCGGGTCGTCGGAAGGCCTAAAAGAAGCAAGTGTCAAAATCCGTCAAAAACCGTAGGAAAATCAATGTGTTTGGCCTCTTCTGGCCTTCCTGGAAGCCCAC